AATGAAAATGAGAAAAAAATGATATTCATGATAAAATAATGATAATGATCATAAAAAATATACTAATAATAATATCAATAATAATTATAGTAATATAACAAGACATGACAGTGGCCATGGATGCAAGATGATGATTCTTATTGGAATGGTAATAGGAGACATGTTTATAGAGAATGATAATAGAAATTAAGTATTTGAAAATGAATTGAGATAGAAAAAAGTTAATGTGCGTTAGTCTTCGTGCGTGTATGGGTGTATGTGCATCGTGTGTGTGTATGTGTGTGTGTAATTTTAAAGAATGATGAAGAAACGATAAAAACGGATGCAAAACAGAGAAACTGAACAATAATGAGGCAAAACTTGAAATGTATAACCAAGAAGAAATAATAAATAATAAAGGTTAGAAATAAAAGCAAGGAAATAAAAAGCACCCAAAAAATCAATAGTTAAAATAGGTTAATAAGTTAAGAGCCAATATGGCGGCAGATGAAGACGAGAAGCAACACACAGAATAATACTTTTTAACAGACTATGTGAGGAAACTTCTAACTAATAATAACAATAATCTATCTCTGACTTTATGACCCAAAGGCAAATCACGCCTTCAAAACAACGCAAAGAAACGCAAGTCATCTGGCCAGGACTGTTACCCAAACCTTTGCCAGCGGGATCGTCACCATGTCTCCTGCACGAGAATGAACCAGTATCTCACTCTTGATTGCAGGAGACTACGATTACACACAATTGTAACGGAAATACGAAACAAAGAAAACAAGTCACTATATTCACAGTATAAACAATAAATAACTTATTATTTGTGTAAATGAATATAACGCAGTGGTGCACTGGTACGACGCGTGACTTCGACTCCGAGGTCCCGCGTTCGATTCCCAGTCATGCCGAGTGGACAGTGTGGTTTCACGTAGGTACCTTGCAAAAAATGTTTTAACTAACTTTTTTGTAAATTTTATTGATTTTGTTAACAAATGGTAGTTGCAATGCGCAAATAAATACCTTGAACCATAATAACTATAGAATCAGATCCTAACAACAAACTGCGCAGCAGATCGGATTTCATATAATCAGGTTCAATTCCTTATTCATTGGTAGATTCCCTTTATATTCCCTTGTTCCTTATACGTCATTTTACTTATAATGCCTTGTACAAAACGGGCGGATTTGAGCCGGGACAGAGAAGATATTTCGTCACTTATGTCTGTCTTATTTTATCGTTATTTATCTTCTCTGTGAATTTTAGTTCCTTAAATTCACCCAATCATATTTAAAATCTCATTAACCAGAAACGGTTTCATAGCATTTACAGAAAATAATTATCAACATAATATATAAAATCTACTTCGGTTCAGATGACTCTAAACTAAACTGCAGGTTGCCTCGAGCGCAGAACATATGTTCTTCTTAATTTGTTATTTCTTGAATTCGTTCTTTGTTAAGTTTGTCCCTCATGAGAGAGCGAGAGAGAGAGAAGAAGGAGAGAGAGATAGAGAAGAGAGAAGAAGAAGAAGGAGGAGGAGGAGGAGGAGGAGGAGAGAGAGAGGAGAGAGAGAGAGAGAAAGAAGAAGAGAAGAGAGAGAGAAGAGAAGAGAGAGAGAGAAAGAGAGAAAGAGAGAGAGAGAAAGAGAGAGAGAGAGAGAAGAGAGAGAGGAAGAGAGAGAGAGAGAAAGAGAGAGAGAGAGAGAGAGAGAAAGAGAGAAGAAGAGAGAGAGAAAGAAGAAGAGAGAGAGAGAGAGTAAGAGTGAAAGAGAGAGAAAAAGAGAGAAAGACAGAGAGAGAGAGAGAAGGAGAGAAAGAGAGAGAGAGATAGAGATAGGGAGAGAAAGAGACAGAGAGAGAGAGAGAGAGAGAGAGAGAGAGAGAGAGACAGATGAGAGAGAGAGAGAGAGAGAGAGAGAGAGAAGAGAGAGAAGAGAAGACAGAGAGAAGAGAGAGAGAGAGAGAGAGAGACAGATAGAGAGAGAGAAGAGAGAGAGAGGAAGAGAGAGAGAGAGAGAGAGAGAGAGGGAGGGAGAGAGAGACAGATAGATAGAGAGAGGGAGAGAGAGAGAGAGAGGGAGGGAGAGAGAGACAGATAGATAGAGAGAGGAGAGAGAAGAGAGAGAGGAGGGAGATAAAGGAGAGAGAGGGCGGGAAGGGGATCACTCTAGATAAAAATTGCTTTCTTTTCCCTATCATTAAGCCCTTGTAATATAGTGGCTTTAAATTCGAGACGGAGGACATAATTTTTTTCCTTTCTTTTTTTTAGATTTATTCGCGACTCGTTGGTTTTCAAGTAACTCTTTTATATCAACCTTTATTAACTTGTCCCTAATCAATAGTATAATTAGAATAGTAATTGTGATATCATTGTGATGGCAATGCTGGAACCTGCTGCTGGAGTTCATAAATGAGACACCCAAAGGCCAGTCAAATATAACCTTCCCTTCTTTCTTTCCCGACATGTTCCACCGCTTCATCATTATGCTAATCTGTTTTATGTTATCATCATAATTAATGCTGATATTGGTACTCTTTTCATCATTTTTATTATTTATATTTCCCATGAATTTCTCCATTGTTGTTGATGTGATTAGCATCATCATCATGAATATGGTTGGTTAATATTTTTTCTTGGAATATATACATTAAGTCTCAAAAATTAGACTTGTGTGACGTAGCCCTTATTGATTCTGTCACGTATTCTACTTTTTGGCAAAGATAGAACTTGCTGTTGTTTATAAATGAGACACTCGGCGGCAGAATTAAATGTATCTTTATTATGATTTTTTTCATAGCTCCAGGTCGCTCTAAAAATGCAGTTCCTTAACATCCGTCTTTTTTTATGTAAAGAATATATTTTTTACATATAAGAAACCCATTTTGTCATACCTCAAACTAATTATTTTTAAATTATAGTCACCGAATTTTAATCACAACGCAGTGGTGCACTGGTACGACGCGTGACTTCGACTCCGAGGTCCCGCGTTCGATTCCCAGTCAAGCCGAGTGGACGGTGGTTTCCACGCAGGTGCCCTGCAATGATATATTTTATCTAATTTATTTTATAATGTTTATAAATTGGTGTGCAATTATAAGAGAAATAGGTAAATAAAGAATCAAGATAATTCGCATACCATCCCGTGTAACTTCCTCGGAAATATGTGAAAACTTCTTAATCAATAATAAAAGTTGCGAATCTCAGATTTCTCTTCGGCCAAGCGCCTCGCAGTCATATGTCGCCATCACTAATCATCTATTCACCGCAGTCGGCAATGTTCCTGCGAGCCGATGGCACTTGTCAGCGAAAAGACCTACTATGCGATAGATTCAATATGGTTCTTGGAGTCTTTAAAGTTAGGCCATTCTCAAGAAATCTCTGAATTACATAAAGATGCTTTCATAGAGTGTGGGAGAGGGGGGGGGGGGGGGGGGAGGGGGTCCAAGAACCCCACTAAATTTATGATGATCATCATGATAATCAACTTTGTTATCATCATTATTAATACTAGTATTATCATTATTATTGTCTATGATTATTCCACTATATTTCCTATTGTTTTATTGTTATAATTATTATTTTATTATCATTCAATATGGTCGTGTTAACCTCATTTTTCTCTATATTCATTTTCTTTCTTTTATCTTTTTTTGACAAGAATTCATTTTCTTTCTTTCTTTTTTCCTCTCTTTTATTTTATTTTATTTTTATTATTAAATATATTTTTTTGACAAGCTGGAAACTGTTGTCCTTTATAAATGAGAAATCTAACGGGAAATTTAAATGGCCTTTAAGATTTCTTTAACCACTCCAATCTTATATAAAACTGACTGAGGTCCAGATTATACGCATAATATTGTTATTATAATTATTATCATCATCGATATCATAATTGTTATTATTTTTTATCATCACCATTATTATCATTATTAGTATTACTGCTATCTTCACCATTATTTTCATGATAATCACTATAGTAGTAGTAGTAGTAGTATGTTATTGTTATTATAATTAAAATTACTACTGCTGCTGGTATTGCTTTTATCATTATTTTATTACTGTTGATGTTATTATCGTCATCACTATCATTATAAGTATTGTGAACTATCATTACCCTTCATATTTATAGGATTATCATCGTACCTTTATTATAATAACTATTATCAATACAACATTACACACACACACACACACACACACACACACACACACACACACACACACACAACACACACACACACACACACACACACACACACACACATAATATATATATATATATATATATATATATATATATATATATATATATACATATATATCATCATCACTACCACTGACATCGAATTTTGATGCTGTTATTGGTGCTGTCATTACCATCCTTACCAATTCATATAAAACCCTATTTTTTTCTCTCTAGGATGACCTGAGATTCACACATTTAGTCTTAAAAAGGTTCCTTATTAATATTGTCATGTGCTTTACTTTTGGCAATGCTGGGAAGTGTTGCCAAACCTCGTAAATAAGACATCTAACAGTCTGTATCAAGTGTAATTTTTCCCCTTCCTTCTTTCGTGATATATTTTAACATTTCAGGTCACTTAAAAAATAATACTGAATATGTAATATATATATATATATATATATATATATATATATATATATATATATATATCTAGTTCCTTAAATCCTATTTATATTTTATAAAAGAGAAACATGTATACAAAAGAATTGTTAGCACAGCATATAGAATTAATGTGGCTCAAATTACGGTATACTTGAATGCTATGTGTTAATAAAATATATCGCTAATGAACTATTAGTTTCCCTTGAATTGAAATTTACATTCTTTTTAAAATAAATACAACCTTTTATTGAATAACTATTCGTTCTTTAGTAGGTTTAGTACAACAGACAGATATAAAGCGACAGGCACACACACACATAGAGAAGGGGGTACGGGATTAGTTTATATAAAAACAAATATATGTTTATGTTCTAATAAGTCTTTGTGGCGAAGTGGTTAACGTGTCTGCCTCTGACTCAGGAGATTTCGGGTTCGATTCCCGACGGAGACAATCTAGCTTTTTTTGTTTTTATGTTACTTATATTTTATATTTGAGCGCGAATTAGTGATTTTCTTGGAAGTTGTTTTTATTAATATCCATTATATTAACATGTTTCATATCAATATCATAGAATCGTAATTGTGACTTCAAAAATATTGTTAATATTATTGCCTTTCTTGTATATTTCTGATTTCATCCTCATCATCATCATAGCTTTTAGCATTATCAATATCATTATCATTATCATCATTAGCATTGTTATTATCATCACCCACATAATCATCACGATCGTCATCATCATTATTGTATTCTTATCATCATAACTATAATCAAATATTGTGTATCGTTATCATTATTATCTTTATAGTTATCATTCCATTATTATGCTAATCAATTTTATTTATCATCATAATTAATACTGATAGTAATACTCTTATCATTCTTACTATTTATGTTTTTATGAATTCTTTATTGTTGTTAGTGTGATCATCATCATCAAATCATTGAATATGGTCGAGTAACAAATTTTTCTTTAGGCTGACATCTTTGGCCTGAGAAATACACAACAAGTCTCAAAAATAGAGTTGTGTGGCTTATCACTTTCTGATTTTGTCATGAATTGTAAATTTCGACTAAGCTTTATAAATGAGAGATCGAAAGGCAGAATCAAATATATATTTTTTATGATATCTTTAATTTCCAAAAGCATATAATAATTTGATAAAACAGAGAATGAGTTCGTAACGTTTATGAAAGAGATTTATCAACATTGTATGAAAATGTCTGTGGTTGAAATTCAGTTTTCAGCATTTATAGCAAAATTATCGAGTAAGAACTATGTTACCTCGCCACATGTAAAAAATATATAATTTGTTTTAAGATTGCTATTTTATTGAGGATGCTTTATTTCTTTGTAAACATTGAAAAGATGAGAAGAAGAGCCAGAGAGAGAGAGAGAGAAGACAGAAAGAGAGAGAGAGAGGAGAGAGAGAGAGAACAGACAGACAGACAGACAGACAGATTGCAGAGACAGACGAAAAGAGAGAGAGAGAGGAGAAGGGTGGGTGAGAGAGGAGGGGGTAAGAGAGACAGACAGACAGACAGACAGACAGACAGATGCAGTGCAGAGACAGATGAAAAGACAGAGAGAGAGAGAGAGGGACAGAGAGAGAGAGAGAGAGAGAGAGATGGGGTGAGGGTGAAAGAGTGAAAGGGGAGAGGGGGAGAGAGAGAGGGGGGGATTACTCTAGATAGAAATAGCTTTCTTTTCGTAAGTTACAAAGTCCTTGTAGTGTAATGGTTAACACAGCATTTTTTTAATCGTTATTTTTTTTTTTTTTGTGAGTCGCTCGTTATCACCTTTTTTTCCAATATTCATTTACATGTCTCGAACCAGTTTTATAATTAATTAATAGACAGACAGACAGACAGACAGATATATATAGCATAGTATTATTGCCATGTGTTATCCTTTATGGAAATATTCGAAACTACTTTATAAATGAGACATCCAAAGGCCAGAGTCAAGTATATTTTTTCTCTTTCTTTTGCAATATCTTCTAACGCTTCAGATTGTATATTGATTATAATTTCTTATGGTTTACTGTGATATTTTAATTGCTTGTATTCCACCAATCTTTACGATAATCTTATAAACCAGACCCGCATCACGCAGCGAGAACTCAGCGAGGTCGCTCAGCATGAAGAGAAGCGAACCATATATCTTACCAATGAGAAGGAAAGATAAATGTCTTGTGAACATGACAGGTAACAGCGACTAAACTCAATTTTCTCGCTAATGATTTAATGACAGTCACAACTGTTATTGAACACTAGTATGCAAACAAACAAGACCATATAAAATATAACACAAAAAATTTCATCAAACTCAATAGTTATTTTAAATAAATGATCAGCGATTAGGTCAACCACAACGTGGTGCAGTGGTACGACGCGTGACTTCGACTCCGAGGTCCCGCGTTCGATTCCCAGTCAAGCCAAGTGGACGGTGTGGTCCCACGTAGGTGCCCTGCGAAATACCTTTTCTTTAGCTAATATTTCTTTTATAATGTTTATAATTTGGTTGGTAGTCATTGCAAGATGAAGTAAATAAAAGTCAAAATAATTTATATAACTTCTCATGCAACTTATTCGCGACTATGATGTGAAAACAATGAATGATAAAATTGCTAATTTCATATTTCTCTTCAGTTAAGGGGGAAAGTTTAATAATCTAGGTGGAAATGAATAATAAAAGAGTTCGAGTGGACGGTGTGGTTCCACGCAGGTGCCCTGTTGACATATTTTTTTTATCTAATTTATTCAGTTCATTCTCAAGAAATCTCTGAATTACATAAAGAAGCGTTTTTGGAGTGTGTGGGGGAGAGGGGAGGGGGGTCCAAGAACCCCATAAGGGTTATGATAATCATGATCAACTTTATTATTAATATCATTGTTAACACTACTATCAATACTATTCTTATCATTATTATTGTTTATGTTTATTCCGTTATATTTCCTATTGTTTTACTGTTGTGATTATCATTATCATTCAGTTTGGTCGCGTTAACCTCATTTCCTAGGATGACATCTTTGGCCTGAGGAATACACATCAAGTTTCAAGGAAGACTTGTGTGACTTTTCCCTTCTTGATTCTGTCACTTTACTCTTTGACAAAGTTGGAAGCTGTTAGTTTGTAAATGAGACATCCAAAGGGAAAGTTAGATACGGTTGTTATAATTTCTTTCCTCACTCCCATTTTAAATAAAAATGACTGAGGTCCAAATTATACACACATCATTATTTTTATCAATATTATCACCAATATCACTGGAATTATAATCATCATTACTTCTATCATCATCATTATTATCATTATTATTACTACTGTTATATTTATCATTATCAACATGATAATCATTATCATTACTATGATCATTGGTATTGCTATTAGCATTATTTTATTACTATTACTGTTATCATCATCATCATTATAAGTATTGTGAACTATCATTACCCTTAATATCAATATCATTATCATCGTACCTTTATTATGACAACTATTTGCTGTTATTATTGGCTTTATCAATACAATATTTTTATCATTACTATCATCGACATCGAATTTTATATTGTTATTATTGCTACTTCATTATTATCGTGATCACTACATAAAAACTTTTTTTTCTCAAGTATGACCTTAGGTTTACACATTTAGTCTTGAAAAGGAACCTTGTTATTACTGACGTGGGTCTTACTCTTGGNATGAAATAAAACAGAGGGATACAAATGTTTGTCGTAAAACCAGCTGACAAAAGACTAAGCCTCACTGCTTTATGGCTGTTCTGCGTGTGCAGATATTTGCGGCTTTAACTTTCATTCAGCTGTACTTTGAGAAAAAAATATGACTCGGTAACTGTTTATATCTGCTTAAAAATTCAGTAAGCATGAGTCCCTTTGCTAGATACACATATGATATTTCGCAAACCTTTTATGCATTTTTTTTCTGTCTATGACTGTCTGTCTCTTTGTCTGGCTTCCTCTGCCCCCCACCCCTACTCACTCACTCACTCTCTCTCTCTCTCTCCTCTCGCCTTCTCCTTCGCCCTATCCCTCCCTCTCTCTCCTCCTCTCTCTCTCTCTCTCGTCTCCTCTCTCTCTCTCTCTCTCTCTTCACTCTCTACACACACACACACACTTTCCCTACTTCTGTGTCTATCTGTGTGTCTATCCTATTTTTAATTACCAGCGTCCAGCTACCTGATCTGCAACGTTTGATCACATTCGCCAATTTGCATTTTCCAAAACCCGTCCCTACCTGCAAAGAAAGAGAAAGAAAATAAATACACTACATTAATATACTGCCAACTAAAAATAAACAAACAGAAATATATTTGTCCACATATCACTTCTAAACAGAAATATCCTCCTTTCAAAAGTGAAGAATTAAATCTAAAAAAAAAAACGCGTCCAAATCCAGATTTCGGCCCGGCAAACATCCATAGGAAAACTGGTAAACATTTGCACATAAGCTCCTACAAACACTCGCTTAAGCCTGGCAGCATCTGATAGCACTTGGGTTAAGTCTCTCGTAAGTAACTTTTTTTTTTGCTTTCTCTTTTTCACCCTTTCTCTCTAAATCGCTATCTCGTAATATCTTCCTTCTCCCTTTTCCCCTCTTTGTATCTCTGTTTCGTAAACAACCTCTTCTTTCTCTCTTTCCCCTCTCTCTATGTTTCTGTTTCGTAAGAAATATCTTCTTTCTTCCCTTTCCCTTCTCATTGTATCTCTGTCTCGTAAGCAATATTTTTTCTTCTCGATTTCCCCTCTCTCCACAATGCTGCTTTCGTAAGTAACAGCGAGGAGGAGGGAGGAGGGAGAAGGAGGAAACGGGGAGAGGAGAGGCAAAGAAGAAGGAGGAAGGAAGAGAAGGAGAGAAGGAAGAGGAGGAGGAGGAAGGAGGGAGGGGAGGAGGAGGAGAAGGAGAGAGAAGAGAAGAAGAGCCAGAGGAGAGTGGAGGGAGAGAGAGAGAGAGAGAGAAGAGAAGAGAGAGAGAGACGAGAGGGAGAGAGGAGAGAGAGAGAGAGAGAGAGCGGAGAGGAGAGAGGGGAGAGAGAGAGAGAGGGACAGAGAGAGAGAGAGAGAGAGAGAGGAGAGAGGAGAGGAGAGAGAGAGAGCAGAGAGAGAGAGAGAGAGAGAGAGAGAGAAGAGAGAGAGAGAGAGAGAGAGAGAGAGGGAGAGAAGAGAGAGAGAGAGAGAAGAGGAGAGAGAGAGAGAGAGAGAGAGAGAGAGAGAGAGAGGAGAGGAGGAGAGAGGAGAGGAGGAGAGAGAGCGAGAGAGAGAAGAGAGAGAAGAGAATGAGAAGAGAGAGAGAGAAGAGAGAGAGAGAGAGGGAGAGAGAGAGAAAGAGAGAGAGAGAGAGAGAGAGAGAGAGAGAGAGAGAGAGAGAGGAGAGAGAGAGAGAGAGAGAAGGAGAGGAGAGGAGAGGGAGGAGAGGGAGGAGAGAGGGA